CCTTTTGTTCTGTTCCAATGACTGCCTCTTGGGCTATGTACAGATTCCTCATGAACACAATTAAGTGTTTGGAATTCTCATTCTTCTCGATGGTATCCACAGTTTGTTACGATGCACATAGTCCAATGCCTTTGCATAGTCACTAAAACACAGATAAAGATCTTTCTGGTATTGTCTGCTTTCAGCCAAGATCCATCTGACATCAGCAATGGTATCCTTCATTCCATATTCTCTTGTGAATCTGACTTTAATTTCTAAAGCTCCCTATGTCCTGCTGCTACCATTTTTTAATTATCTTCAGCAAAATTTTACTTTTGTGTGATATTAATGATATCGTTAGATAATTTCCACACTCTGTTGGATCACCTGTCTTTGGAAAGAACACAAATATGGATGTCTTCCAGTTGGTTGGCCAGGTAGCTGTCTTCCAAATTTCCTGGTATAAATGAGTAAGGGCTTCCAGCCCTGCAGCATTTGTTGAAACACCTCTCAATGGGCATTCCATCAATTTTTGGTCTTGTTTTCACCAATTCCTTCAATGCAGGTTGGACTTCTTTCAGTACCATTGGTTCTTTATCAAACCCTTAGACAGACTTAAGTACAAAACATAGAAAGCATTTTTTTCTCTGTGATTAAACTAAAAGTAGGAAACGAATGCTCCCATGGGAGGGGCTTGACACAAGATCCTTTTCAGGAATCCCCTCAGCAGCCCTCAGGAAATGCTTTAGGTAATTACCCCATGGCCACCTTGCCAAACCCCACTTTGTCAGGTATTTAAACTAATCAACCAATCCAAATAGCCCACTTGCCTGTTCCAGTCAATCACTGTAAAGCCCTCACTTGGAGTTGTCTCAAATCTGGCTTCTCTGATCTTGCAACTTCCAATCTGAATGCTGTACTTTTAGTTCTTTTTATCTCATAAATATGGTTCTGTTACTCCACCATTTGGGAGAGTCTGCCTTCAGTTTGTGTGTTCCAGTGTATCCCCGGTTTGAACTTTCAATACTCTGCTTTTATTTTAACAGAGAACATGTTCTTACTAGTTAGTTCACACTATCTAATCTTTCAGGTGACTGTTGTCAGTTTTATCCCACAGAGATAGTTCTTAAAAGAACATAAGGCTCAAGGCAGACATGTTTGTTAAGCTAATGTTTCATTTTAAGAAGACTTCAGGGGAAATATTTAGCCTAAAGTTTAAAGATCATCTTAGGGCAATAATTTCAGGGGTTCAACCAGCCCCCTTGCCTCCACAGAGTCCATGAAAATTTGAAATTCTGTTCTGCATTTTGCCCCTTTGGATCAGGATTTTTGTATGGAATCTTTGATCAAATATTCAGTGATGGTAGCAAGATATCATTCTATTCTGGTCTCATGGCAAAGACAGTTGTTCAGAACGGGTCTCTCCTTATCCACAGTAAAGAATGAAGAAAACCAAAGACACATGGAAACAATTAGTCCAAGGGACTAGCAGACCATGCGATTCTCAGCCTATATGACCATGAGACCAGAAGAACTAGATGGTGCCTGGCTACTACTGTCAACCACTCAGAGGGGGACTGGTGCAAGAGATCATGAATAGAATGGGAGAGCAATGTGGAACAAAACTCAAAATCATAAAAAAAAAAAAAGATCAGGTTTACTGTTATGATTGAACCTGGTGAGACCCCTGAGATTATGGCCCCTAGTTACCCTTCAGGTCTGGAACTGAACTCACTCCTGTGGCTTCCAGCCAAACAATAGACAGGCCTATGGCCTGAACATTTACATCAGGTAGATACACTCCTTAGAGTGATCTGTCGTTGGAGAATGTTGTTGTTGTTGTTGTTGTTATGTGCCGTCGAGTCGGCCCCAACTCATAGCGACCCCTCCTTGGGTTTCCGAGGCAGTATCACTACGGAAGTAGGATTGCCCAACCTTCCTTCCGAGGAGTGACTGGTGGGTTTGAACCGCCAGCCATCTGGTTAGCAGGCAAGTGTCTTAGCCACTATGCTACCAGAGCTCCCCGTTGGAGAATAGAAGGGCAGTATTTGTACAAGGAGATAGCTGGGGTGGGGGCAAGACTACGTAGAGAAGAAGGACATAGGAAAGAGGTAACTGCAGGGAGGAAGCAGGAAGAAAGCTGTTACAATGTGGGGAATTGCAGTCAATGTCATGAAATAAAATGTGTATGAACTGCTGTATGGAAAATGAACTTGCTCCGTAAACTTTCACTCAAGTCACAATAAAAAAAAAAAAAAAACTTACAATAAAATATTTACAGAAACTTTAAGAGAAGAAGACAGTTGTTCACAGAGGCAATTAACCATGCATTCCATATCCTCCTCCTATTCCTGACTCTCCTTCTTGGTCTGTTGCTTTAGGCAATTAGAGATCAATTGTGCCCTTGGCTGGTTGTAAGATCCCAGGAATTATGCAAGGAACCAGGAAGTGAATCTTGTATAAAAGATTTGAAAGCAGTAGAGAGGTGTTGAAGACATCCTTAGTCCAAAGGCTGCTTATTTTTCTTTCTTTTTTTTTTTTAATTGTGATTTGAGTGAAAATTTACAGAGCAAATTCACTCTCCATATAGCAATTCACATACACTTTGTCTCATGACATTGACTACAATTCACCCTAATGCAACAGCGCCCCTCCCACTTCCTTCCAATAGTTACCTCTTCCCTGTGTTCATCCCTCCATGCACTCCTGCCCCTAAGCTGTCTCCCTGTGCATAAACAGCCCTTCTTTCTCCCATGATTGCTCTCTCCAAGGAGTGTATCTATCTCAGGTAAATGTTCAGCTCATATGCCTGTCTTGTTTGGCTGGAAGCCACAGGTATGAGTTCAATTCCAGACCTCAAGGGCAGCTAGGGGCTGTAGTCTCAGAGTTCCACCAGGCTCTATCAGACAAAAAGACGTGGTCCCCCCTCCTCTTTTTCTCCAAATGATTTTGAGTTTTGTTCTACATTGTTCTCCCTCTCTATCCAGGATCTCCTACATAGATCCCACTCCGAGTGGTTGACAGTGGTAGCCAGGCACCATCTAGTTCTTCTGATCTCATAGTCATATAAGCTGCAGATTGCATGGTGTACCAGTCGCTAGGACCAATTGTTTCCATGAATCTTTGACCTTCTTCATTTTTCTGTGCTCTGGATAAGGAGAGACCCATTGTTGCATCTAGATGGCTGCTTGCAAGCTTTTAAGATCCCGGTTGCTACTCGCCAAAGTAGGAGGTGGAACAATGTTTTGTGTAGTATGTTATGCCAATTGAGTTTGATGTCCCCTGTGACTATGGTCCTGAGCCCATTGGTTCAACTACTTGGTAGGAGCTTATTTCTGAGCTTGTCTTTCCCTTGGTAGACAGACTGGATTCACATCCATAGGCACCAATTCCTAATTTTGTGTCCTTGGGCAATGTATACTCTTTGTGTCTTAATTTCTCAGTAGTGATAAAGGATCACTATTATCATAATAAAACCAGTTGCCCTCCAGCTGACTCCAACCCATGGTGACTCCGTGTGTTGGAGTAAAACTGCTCCATCAGGCCATGAATGGCTGACTTTTTGGAAGTGGGTTGCCAGGCCTTTCTTCCAGAGAGCCTCTGCGTGGACTTGAATCTCCAACCTTTTGGTTAGCAGCGCCTTAGCTGTTGGCACCACCCAGAGACTCCTCATGAATATTAGTATTTCCCTTTTAGGCTTGTAACCCCTCAAACTCACTGCCATCAAAGCGATTTCAACGCGTAACAACCCCCATTGGGTTTCCCAGGTGGTAAATCTTTACAGAAGTATATTGCCCTATCTTCCTTCTGCAGAGCAGCTGCTGGGTCTGAGCCATCAACCTTCTGGTTAGCAGTCAAATGCCTTATGCACTGCTGTTGTAGTGGATTCAAAGAGTGAATGATGAAAGCGAGGCTTGGCACATGCTCAAAACTGTGCAGTTGTCAGGAAAATGCAAAGGGAAATAATCAATTGTCTTGCTATCTTATCTAATACAAGATGTGGAATAATTGCTCTCCTGGGGCCATCCCAGGCTTTGGGACACACCACCCTGGACCTGGCTGGGCTGCAGTGAGCCTCTGAACAGCTTTGGGGAAGTAGGGCTCAGGACAGAAGATATCAGTTAGTATCCTCTTGTCTGGTGTTGCTACGTATTGAAGACCCATTACCCATCAAGTTGATTGCAATTCAGAGTGACACTTTGGGACAGGGTAGAACTGCCCATAGTGCTTCCAAGGCTAAAATATCTATGGAAGCAGAAGGCCACACTTTTCTCCCACAAAGCATCTGCTTGGGTCTCACCAATGACGCCTAACCAGCGACTTTTAGGTTAGTGGCCAAGCTCCTAACCACTGCACCACCAGGGCTCCTTCTGTGTACTGAAGAAACGGGCCCAAAAGGCAGAGATTGGGGACAGGAGAGTGCTGCCGGGGTGGGACAGGGGGACCGAAGGTCAAGTCTTGGCCTGTCCTCTGCACACAACACACAGCCCAGGCTGACCCCTCCCCCCCAACACACACACACTACCTCTCGGTCAGAGTACTGAAGTGAAAGGCTGAGGTTTGCGCACGGGTTCCGGGAAAGGGAGAACCTGAGGATAAACGGGCAGAGGGGTGGGAAGACAGCGAGGACCCCAGAGGCTGAGTTCCCGGAACACACGAGAAGGGGCAACAGTAGACAGCCACAGGAAAACTGGGAAGAGACATGCAGCATGGCTGGGACACCGAGTGCCACACAGCGCACGGCCCCTCCCGCGAGCGAGTGCAAAAGGGCAGCCGTTGGTGCACAGAGCACCGCGTGCAGGAAGCGGTGCGCTCGGCCCCTGCGCTGCGCTCAGACCGCCAGGGGCGAGGAGAGCGGTATTGATTCACCTGGCAGAGCGCACAGCGGGGCGGGGCCTTTGCGCCCGCGCCGGCTCCTCGAGCTATAAAGAACCGGGGGGCCTTGTGGGTTCCAGCACGTCTTCCGCCAGCCGAGCATCCCCTTCGCCAACTGCCTTCTGACCTCCCGCCGCACGTCGCTTGAAATGGACCCCAACTGCTCCTGCGCCACTGGTAAGGGACGCCTGACTTTTGGGACGCGGGATTCAGGGTCTCTAGGGGTAGAGGAGGAAGCACTTTGAATACTCAGCTGAAGTGGATCCTTTGGTTCGCAAGTCTAGTGCTTTCTCCCTCGCCCAGCGTCGTCACCTCTTCCCCCACCACAGCATTTGATCATCCCAGGGTCTTGGCAATTCAGAGACCACAGGACTGAGATTCAAAGCTGCCTTGCAGGTCATCCCCCAGGTGGCCAGTGGGCTGCTGTGCTGGGTCCCTAGCTCGGTCCAGGACTCTGAGCTACCTGGGTTTCGATGGGAGGCAGGGAACATTCATTGACTTTTTAAGACTCAGGACAAAGGCATTGGCTTTGTGGGTTGGATCTGTATAGCCTGGGACCTTCTCTGTGTACTGAAAACAGGAGTATGCATTGCCCCTCCCATTATGAGGGGAGAGCAGTGGCATCGGCTCACAGTAAGGTGCAGGGAGCGTTTGGGTGTGTCCTGCTTCACAGCCATTCCTAGGAGCCCTGGTGGCTAGTGCCTAAGGCATTTGACTGCTAACCAAGAGGCTATTGGTTCAAACCCACCAGCCACTCCTTGGAAGGAAGGCTGGGCAATCTACTTCTGTAGTGATACTGCCTTGGAAACCCAAGGAGGGGTCACTAGGAGTCAGAACCAACTCCATGACAGCAGTGAGTTTTGTCTTTCTCTCTTCCTTGCAGGTGGTTCCTGCACCTGTGCTGGCTCCTGCAAATGCAAAGAGTGCAAATGCACCTCCTGCAAGAAGAGTGAGTCGGGGCCCTCCGGGCATCTGCGGGCTGGGCTGAGCAGGGGAAGGGGAAGGCCTAGAGCCCAGCAGGCGGGAGCGGGTCACTGACACTGCTTCTCCCATCCCCTCCTCCGGGCACCTGATTCACAGTCAGAGCTGAAAAGCCTTAGAGGTGGTTGAGGCTTAACCTTTCTCTCTAGTAGGAGGAAACTGACCTACTGGGACAGCCCTTTCCTATAGATGAAGCCCAGACCTTCAGTGGGCTGTCCAGATGCTCTGTCATGGTCCCCCCCCCCACCCCCATCTTGAGGACTTTCCTCTGTCTACTGTTTGGTTCTGGAGATCAGGACTTAGAACGAGTTCATTCCAGTTCGACCTCCTGCTGGGGACTTGTATTCCTTTTCTTCCCTGAGGCTCACTGTCAGTGCCTCGCCAGGCTTTCTGCCCTATCCTGGGCTCAAATGGGACAAGGCAGCTTCTTCCTAGTGGCACCCAGACCGCAAAAGTCCTCCCAGGGATCTGGGGAAGCAGCAGGCCTCTGGTACCCAGGGCCCTGCTGCCTGGGGTAGAGATATCGTCCAGCCTGATCTAACCTCTCACCTCCCTTTCTCTTCCCCAGGCTGCTGCTCCTGCTGCCCCGTGGGCTGTGCCAAGTGCGCCCAGGGCTGCGTCTGCAAAGGGGCATCGGACAAGTGCAGCTGCTGCGCCTGACGTGGGAGAGCCCTGCCCACATGTAAATAGCACAGCCTGTACAAAGCTGGCTTATTTTCCCTTACAACCCTTACCCCTCTGCTACCTCCTTTTTTTCTAAGAAATACATGACTGATAATAAATGGTGTTGACTTTATTCTAGCTCTGGTCTCCTTTGTGTGTCTGGTCTCCTTTGTGTGGTTTGGAAATAAGGGGCACTGTGATCGACATGGCTGGGTGTGGGGCTGGGAGCCCAGAGACCTGGGTTCTGGACCCAGGTGTTAGCCCCTGCTAAACTGAATGCCTTAGGCAGGTGAGGCTGCCTCTCTGGACAGGAGTTTCTTCATCTGTAAAATGGGAAGAGCATTGTGCCAGATGATATAAGGGCAAATACAGCCTCCCCGCTGTTCTTATGTCAAGTGTTCATGGTAGAGAGAGACTGACATTAATCTCTCATTGTGATATAATTGGTCGCTTTTATATGGTCTTGTAACTCCCACCAAATGATTGGGTGAGATTATGCAAATGAGGTGCTTGTGGCCCACCAAGGGGTGGGATACTAAAGCAAACTCACTGGCCTGGAGTCAGATCTGAATCATAGTGACCCCTCCTTGGGTTTCCGAGGCAGTGTCACTAGGGAAGTAGACTGCCCAATCTTCCTTCTGAGGAGTGGCTGGCGGGTTTGAATCACCAGCCTTCTGGTTAGTAGTCAAATGCCTTAGACACTACGCCACCACTTGCTAATAATACAAATAAGGTGCATTACATTATGCAAATAAGGTGTATGAAACTGTAAGGAGATTGGTTGGTTTTATCATCCTGCTAGGCTTAAAATGAGCCATTCCAGAGGCAGAAAGGGGACCTGACTACCACCAAGAAGAGGAGATGGGGGTGGAATACGTCCTTTAGAATTGGAGTCTCTTCTCTGGGGATTTCACAGACCCAGAAGACAGAGCTGTAACACCAGGGACAGTGAATAGCAGTGGCAGAGAACTGGTGGCAGCAGAGACAGCGGAAGCAGGT